GAGGGAGATCACTGAGGAGGAGGGAGATCACTGAGGAGGGAGGAGATCACTGAGGAGGGAGATCACTGAGGAGGGAGGAGATCACTGAGGAGGAGGGAGGTCACTGAGGAGGAGGGAGATCACTGAGGAGGGAGGACATCACTGAGGAGGGAGGACATCACTGAGGAGAAGATCACTGAGGAGGAGGGAGATCACTGAGGAGGAGGGGAGAGATCACAGAGGAGGGAGATCACTGAGGAAAAGGACACTGGCCCCTGGGAAGAGGACAGAAGATGGTCCCGGACACTGAGGCGCTCCTTGCAGAGAAAGTGGCCTGGAGAAGGGGAAGCCGTTCTTGCAGCTATAAGACGCGGGAGGCAGGGGATGGATCAGGCAGGGGATGGATCGGACATGCTCCAGCATCTCGGGCTCCCAACACCAGACAGTGATCCGTCCGGCCCACCCACGCTGTCCCCAGGGATGTCTCAGGGACGGAGCTCTTGCCCTGTCTCCAAGGCACCTTCTGAGTGGACTCAAACTCCCACCGACCAGTTAGCAGCAGAGCGCACTGACTGTCAGCAGCACCCAGGGCCGTCTGATACAGCAGAGTCCCCCCTCTCATGCTCCGAGCTGTCCTAGCAGTGTGGGCTCAAGGTTGGGTCGTGAGCCCTGCCCCAGAAAGCCCGGTGAAGGATCCCGAGAGGAGGATGTGGCTGAATCTCAAAGGGTCCTTCTCAAACTCCTTAGGCAGCATGTCCACCCTCCGGCGTTGCCCCCAGTGTGACGGGAACCCCGCTGGGCCTCCCTGCTTCACTTGTGCACGGTGACACTCCCCCATCTACGCTTCTCGTTCCCCTGCACGCAGAGCTGACAAGGTTTCAGGACGGAGATCCAGGGGGAAGAGAAAGCAAGTCCCCAACCTCTCAGAAGGTGCTGCGTAAGCAAAGTGGCAGGTAGGTGACCGGAGGCCTGCGGCAGGGGTGGGGAGGGAGGGGGAGTGCAGCGACGCCTATGGAAACAGGCATTTTGGCAGTGAGGACCCTGGCCTAAACTTAGACTCTGCAGCTACGTCCAGCCACCACGGAGCGGTATGCTGTCCAGGGGCAGACGCTCTGGGAGGTAAATTACACCTGAATAAACCTGGTTTTAAACAAACAATGAAAACGCATTTGGGACGGACACACCACAAAGGAACCCTCTAGGACAGTGGTTCTCAACTTGTGGGTCGCGACCCCTTTGGGGGGATCAAAGGACCCTCTCACAGGGGTTGCCCGATACAGAACAGTAGCAAACTTACAGGGTTGAAGTAGCAATGAAAATAATGTTATGGTTGGGGGGTCACTACAACATGAGGAACTGTATGAAAGGGTCGAGGCCTTAGGAAGGTTGAGAACCACTTCCCTGGGGCCTCCGGGCGTTCTTCCCAGTGCTGCCAGGTGCCGGCCGGTTGTCAGGTTCCTTCTGATGGAAAGGCCGAGGGGGAGTTAACACAGCCTTGTGTGTTCCCGGAAGGGGACACTCAGTCCCCCGTCTTGCTCCAAGAGCTAACGTGACGCATGACCAGGTCGGCCAGCTCGGCCCGGGGACTGCCAGCAAGCCCCAGGGCTGAGCCCAACACCTGCACCGCATCACCTCCAGGACGGTGTTGAAATAAGCGGACTCGACTCTGGTCTCTTGAGCCCAGTGGTGGCCGCCACCCTGGGCAGGCAGGGCCTGGCAATGGCGTCTGACGCGCCCCATCTCGGGCTGCCAGGCCTCACGGGGGTAACGTGAGCCTCAGTAAGAAGAGCTGAAAACGATGAGTCCGAGGAGCAAGTATGTGAACTTGGCCAGCATTCCCACAGATGAGGGGGCCGGGGGTCTAGCCTCAATGCCCAGGAATCTCAAGGCCCTCACCCAGACCCCCCACCTTGGGGGAGAGTCACTGGGCAGGATGCTGGAACAAAGCTTCACACGCTGCCTTCTCCTCAGGAGGCGGGAGGCCAAATACCTCTGGCACTGAGCAGGCCCTGAGAGAGGGCCAGGAGTATTTTTAGAAACCATGAGAAAGATCTGTGTAACCCCTGTGCCACAGCGCCACCCACCACCCCCAACCCCGCCCCATAACTCCTCTAGGAGGCAAGTCCCTTAAAATGCATCTGGGGCATGCTTTGAACTTGGGGTAGGTCTTAAGGACACAATGTGGCCCCTATGCTCCACAGACACCCCAGGACCTTACACAATCCACCAGGAAACCCAGTACCTGTTTATTAGTTAACAATTCAAACCAGTACGTGTTTTCCACATAAAAATACCACACCTGCACATGCACACCCTCACCACAGATGCCTACATACACACACAGGTAAACACACACACATACACACCATGCATCTTGCATGTATACACAGTATACAACATACACACACACACAAACCCCACATACACTCACACAACCGACACATACACACACTGCCCAGGCATATGCACACACATATACACAATACATACTGTGTGTCTACACACACACACACACACACACACATACACACACACACACACACACCAGACATCCCAGCGAGATCCAGAAATAACGTCCGGCCATAATCGCCCGGAGGACAAGGCGCTGTCATTCACCCACCTGCAGGCCTGGCTGCTCCCAAAACAGCGGGACGGAGCCTCTGATCTGGACAAAAGACGACACTCCATCATCCATGTAAATCGTCTGAAACGGAGAGGGAGAGATTCCTCAGTGGAAGCGAGAGTCCGAGGCTGTGTAACCGGATCCCGAGCCTGAGACCCAACACCAGTCGGGGCACAGGGCAGCCTGCGGACTGGCGCCGCTCTTCTGCCGGTGCCCCAAATGCCAGCCGGGGCCTGGGAGCCAAGGGGCCTGCTGGCTGCTGGGTGGCCTCCCAGGCCTGGTGCCCACACCTCCTCCCAAGAATGACCAAGTGCCCTGCTCCAGGGTCAGCTGGAGCAGGTGGGGAATGTACTCTCCTCAGGGCACGACTCGACGGCCCTCCCTGAAGACCCCACTTGCCCCAGCCCATGTTGGGAGCAGGAGCAGGGCCATCTCGGAAGCCAGGAAACACTGCTTGTGCTGTCGGCTGCCACCAGTCAGCCCTGACCCCAGGTGACCCCAAGCTCCAGACCAGTTGCAGATGGAAGTGTGGGACCCGTGAGGTTTTCAGGGACTGGTTTTGGGGAGTGGATCTCCAGGCCCTTCCTCGTAGTCTGTCTCAGTCTGGACAGCTCTGCAGACACCTGTTTAGTATCCCAGCAGCGTGCAAACCTCCCCTGACCCTCAGTGGGGACAGTTCATGAAGTGCATTGGCCAGGAACTGAAATAGGGTCTCGCTCAGGAAAGGCGCCAATTCTAGCCCAGAGCCCCCAATGTTGTATCGCTGGTGTTAGGGGCTATGGAGTTGGTTCTGACCCACAGCGACCCTGTACACACTGCACGGTCCGGTGCCATCCACACAATTGTTCCCATGCCTGAGGCCACTGCTGTGGCCACTGTGCCCACCCATCTCCCTGTGGGCCTTCCCCTTTTTTTCTGCTCTGGTGTCCTTCTCCAGGGACGGGTCTCTCTTGACAACATGTCCAGAGTATGCAAGATGAGGCCTTGCCATCCTTGCCTCCAAGGAGCACCCTGGCCTTACTTCTTCCATGACGATGGGATTGCTCTCCAGCCATCCATGCCATGTTCGGTGTTCTCCTCCAGAACCAGGATTCAGAAGCATCTGCTCTACTGCGGGCTTCCTTCTTCAGTGCCCGGCTTTCACACACGCATATTCAGCCATGGTGTGGGTCGGGAGCACTCAAGCCTCAAAGTAACATCCTTGCTTTTCAATACTCTAAGGAGGTCTTGTGCAACAGATTTACCCAGTGCCACGTGTCTCCTGAGTTCTTGCTGCTGCTTCCATGAGTGTTGAGTGTGGATCCGAACGAGATGGGATCCTTGACAACTCCCAGTTTTCTGGGTCCCCACTGCCCCCCCTTACTACCGCATCACAGCTCTCCATGCAGGGCTGGCTCGTGGCCCAGGGCTGGACGAAGTTCTCAGAACGGCTGCCTCCAGGGCCAACCTATCTGCACCAGACCAGCTTGAACTTGAAGACACGAGTCAAGACCTGCACTTGGCTTTAATCTGGTGCTGTGCCCAGATTAAACATATGACAGGGCTTTCAGAAGCTCCCCGGGGAGTGGGCGCTACATAGAAACAAATGATCCTTCAACATCTGGACACATAGCACCCCTGCCAGCACATGTACCCATTGTCCAGAGTGGCCCTGCGCTCAGTGGAACTGCGGGCCTCTGGGCGCAGAGCTAGGGTTTTTGTAAAGAGGATATGAGGACAGCCGGGGCGTCACAGGGGAAGGCTGGTGCTGTTATCAGATGCGTGGCCTTTATCGGGGTAACGGTATCCTGGTCTGGCAGGGCCGCCAGCAAGGCCCTGGGCCCTTTCCACTCGGCACAGCCTGCTCCCTTACCGGGTAGCTTTCCATGCAAGGCAGGGCACGGTGGGCAGGTGGCCCATGCATTAGTCATTCTGTAGGGGAGGGCGGGGGGAGCAGAGCGGCCCTTGGTTTCCCTGGGCGACAGGAAGGTCCGAAGTCTCCAGAGGAAGGCACCCGTGGGCGCATTTGGAACAGGTAGAGACCGCCAGCAAGCCTGTGGCCTGTGACCCTGCCACCGTGCAGACGAGTGGTGCCCACACACCAGCCAGCTCCCAGCTCCCTCACAGACACCAGCCCAGCCAGCCTTCTCCCAGGACACTGACGCTCCACAGGATCTGGTTTAAGGACAGGAAGGGGGTTCCTTCGTGGGATGAACCCTGCTAACGTGCTACTCCCAGCAAATGCCTGGTTCCTGTGCAGCTCTTGAGAGCCGACTCTGGAGACGGCCCGGACGAGGAAAAAACCACGGCCTCCACCTCCTTCCTCTCGTGTGGCCATGACCTGCTAGTGCTGGGTCCCAGACTGCTCCCAAGGCCACCTTCTTTGTTCCCTGACCCACAGACACTAGAGAGGGACACACGATTTTCATTCTGGGGGGAGGCAGACGGGAGCGTGGATGACCAATCTGGTCCAGACTCCTAGCTGCCCAGCAGGGTGATCACAGGGTCCGTCCCTGTCAATGGCATGTCTGATGGGACACGCACCAGGAGGAACGAATGAAGGATGGTGACCAAGGGCAGGATTTGCTCAAACATCTCCCTAGCCCCTGGGTGAAGGGCTGCCCTTTGGGCGCATGGACGAGGCCCTCGGGGCAGAGGAGGAGGGGGCAGGGTCAGCACTCTGGGAGCTGGGTTTATGCTGTGGGAGAAGACAGGATGGGTGGGGGAACTCACAGTTGGCAGGAGAGAAATCCAGACGGAGGGACTTTCAGGAGGGAGGGAGCCCCGTACAGTAGGGCGTAGTTCGGGTAGGGGTGCCACTGGACTTGACTCTCAGGATGCCCTGGGTGACCCTGGATGCCCCTTTCAGAGAGCAACAGGGGCCGAAACCCAAAGACCATGAACAGAAGGAGACACGGTGGGACATTGGAGACGGCTGGCTTAGACCCAAAAGGCTTTTTGCTGAACTACTTCCTGACAAGCGAGCAGCAAACCCGTGCTTCCCAGGTGTGCTCCCAGGGCGCAGGGGGTTCCCACCTGCCCGCCCGCACCAACTGCCAAGTCTCAACTCCAGGAGTCAGGTACAGAGTCTTTGTGAGGCTGCGGGTGGGGGTGGGGGTGGGTTCTGCAGGACGAGTCCTGGCTGCAGAGTAGGGACCCCAAGCATGTCTCCCCACCACCCTGAAAAGGCGTCTCTCTCTCTCTCTCTCACTCTCTCTCTCTCTCTCTCTCACACACACACACACACACACACACACACACACACACACACACAGACAGCCTCTGGCTGAGAGAAAGCTCCGCCCTCGTCTGGCTCCTGGGATTTAATTCACAAGAAGAAGTTCATTGCCCGCCAAGAGCTCCCCTCCACACAGGGAGCCAGTCTGCTCTGTATGGGTCTCTCCTTGCCAAGTGACTAAGCAGCCACTAGGTCGGCAGTTCAACACCATCAGCCGCTCCTCGGGAGAAAGAAGAGGCTTTCTACTCCTGTAGAGTGACAGTCTCGGAAACCCCCAGGGGCAGTTCTACCCTGTCCTGTAGGGTCCCCACGAGTCAGGATTGACCTGTGTGTTTGTGTGTTGAAGCCAACACACAATGGCTATTTCACCATAATCAAAGCCCTGAGGGTCCCCACACTTACAGTGTTACAAACTCAGGAAGCCTAGGTGCTGTGGGTCCCCACTCTCGGCTCCTCTACTGGGGAGCCTGCCCCCACTCTTCCAGGAGCTCCGCAGAAGACCTGCATGTGCCTTCCGGAAGCCACAGGCTTCCTAGGGCCTCCCAGGGTCTGGAGGAGGGAGCCATCTCTGGGTCCGTAAACAGCAGCATCTTCAGAGCCGGGGATTTTTGGGAGGGCTGAGTCAGAGCTGCCACACCCGTCAGAGGAGCCTCCACTTGGAAAACAACCTCAATTCCAAAAAGAAAGTGATGTGGTCCAACCGAAGCACCCCTGTTACTACAAAGTGCTTGCACGGCCAGCATTCAAGGTTCCCTGGGGAGCAGGAGTTAGGTCTCTGGTGGTGAGGAGAGGCGAGGTGAGCCCTATTCTGCTGGGACCTCCCTCCCCTCCAGCCGCCTCCCCTTGCCTGGCCTCCTCACACCAGTGAGCGCAAAGGCTTCTGTCCCTGCGTCAGGGACCACCTAATGGCCAGCCCCGCCATCGGGACCTGCCGGGGCCCCTGGGAGCATCGCTGGGGGGACCCTGGGCAGCAGCATTCCAGCAGGAGGATGTTGGTGGTGGGGGAAATGGTGTCCCCACAAAGCGTGTGTTGAAGTTCTAACCTTGGTGTTCCTGAACGTGACCCAGTTTGGAAATAGGGGTTCCTCTCCTAGGATAACCAGAGCGTGCCAGAGGGGGGCGCATCTTAGGCCGAATCCCTTCTGGGTGGAGTCCCATAAGAAGAGTGGACTAGACACGCACGCACACACACGCACGCACGCACGCACGCACGCACGGGAGCCAGACGCTTTGACAATGGAGGCCCATGGGTCCACAAACCCAGGAATACCAAGGATCGAGGGCTCCTACCTGGAGCCCAAACCAAGAGCTGGGTGGGACTTCTATATGTGTCTGTGCTCCAAAGCCCCCCCCTGGTGGTGTTATTCTTTACAATTTAAGTCGCACCCCTGGGTCCCTGAGACAGTAAGCCCTCACTGTCCTCCTGTGCTACCTCTTGTCTTCTCTCCCGCCGCTGTCCTTCCCTGCATGCATCTCTCACCTTGGACGGGCCCTTCCTCTAACACTCTGGCCTTCCCTCACGTGGCCGGGGGCTCTCCCATCTGTCCTGGCCTGGGAGGACCAGCCCTCGTCTGTCCTGCTGCACGGGCCGAGGAGGACACCTTCATGCGCCCTGAGAAGTGGTTCCCGCTCGCCCCAGGTGGGGCTGCCTCTCTCCCACGCCACGGGCCACCCTGTCAGGATGCAGAATAAAGCATCCTGGCTCATCCTTTCCACAGGGAGGCCCCGGCTCACCAGGGACCAGTCCAAAGTGAAGCTGGCCTTGGGCCCATCTGCCCAGCAAACAGGTGTGCTGGGTGCAGACACTCGTCTGACATGCCTGGTGCTCCTGGGTGAGAAATGCCGTCGCAGGTGGCTTTAATGA